GGGCCTGGTTCTTGTGATAGTACCACATCTTCGTCGTCATCAACTGTAGCGCTATCGTTTCTGGAAGCCTCTTGTTCTACAAATTGTTTTTGCACTCCGTAAAAACCACGTTTTCTCTTTTGACGGTAAAGGCTTCTTTGCTTTCGTCCAGGCATTCTAACTCTGACAAACGTAAAACAGTATTTCGAGGTGCACCGTGGTGAAAATTTACAGAATATACTTCATGTAAAGCACACTAAAACAAATTCAACTCAATAAAAAAATTGTAATCGTGTTCCAAGGTAGATTTCGTCTTACCTGTGGCCAAAAAAGGGTAAAAAAGATTTGAGAAGTTACCCTAGCAACCAGCTTTTCTCGTTGCTAAGAAGAATATTTGTGACTGCTCTTTGAAAAACCTTGATTTATGACCCGTTTTCGGTCCGTATGTGCACAGGGGCATTTAACAAAGAAAGAACAACACCTAAGGCATTATAAAATTGAAAAAAGCAAAAAAGTTGGAAAAAATTTTTTGATGATGAAATCTAGGGTCGAGGACCACCTTAATGTCTTGCTTGAAAAAAATAGTCTTTGCAAAGAATCATTAGTTGTTTCTGTACTTTCCTGGGGACTTTCCACAAATAATTGGACAAAATATTCAGCATTGATTGACTCCGCATACAACACCAGTTTGCAGATCGCATTAGGCCCAACCAATAGTTGGCCTTCCCTGGCCTACCATTCTTTTAATTTTAGTCGGCATTGTTAACTTATTGTTCTTGTAAATAACATGTGTTGTAGACTTGCTGCAGCCAAACTTTCTTGTAGTTTCAGCAAACAAGTGACTATCTAGTCCCAAATATTTTATTGCTTCTCGTTTTCTTTCTGGTCGTTTTTGTGTTTTCGGAATTGAAATTAAAACATTGACATTTTCAATTACTCCCTGACATTTTGTTACTTTTTTATCATAGAAAGGTAGGAAATAAACTGAGTTTGTTAGGAATTGCGTTTTTGCCGACGCCATTTCTAGAATCCCGCCAAAACAGCAAGATTTGTTTAATCAATGTTAGAACGCTAGTTTTGAAGCCGCCATTTTGTTATTCATCGTCCTAATATCACGTGAGTGTAGTCGTTGCGTTTACACGGGGCCGCTTATGACTTGCGCAATGTGTCAAAAGCTTGGTGCAAGAATCGTTATAAAGAAAGAGCTATCAAAAGAGCTTCTCTCATTCGCTTTCTCTGTTCTCGTATGCTATCTTTGCAAAATGCTTTTTAAGGAGGATGGCTGACATATTTGCTATCAATGATTGGAAATTTGCGCCGTTTGCTACGCTTTTAGAATTGTTTTGAAATGAATCTTTCGACGAAAGTCGTCCATATTTCCAGCAAAACAAACAATAAGCAAAAGTTACAAACGAAAAATCATAAATTGACTGAGCGTTCATTGTCAAAAGTTTTTTGTGTGTGTATTCTCTTAGCATTAATTTTTATGAAGTCATCGCCTAGTCACTCTGTTCGATTCAAGTTCATTCTAAGAAATTCTGGCTGCCAATGTGCTTTGATGCGTTCTATCCATTAACAATATCGTCGGGACTTTGGAAAAATTTATCTTTTCAGAACTTTGCAAAAATAATTTCGCAAACCCGTCATTCTAATGCTGCAAAAATTAATGCCAAACTGGGTAAATCACACCTGCAGTCATTCCCAAGCTTTAAAACAGTGAGAAGCACTTCGGGCTATGGAGTAACGATATCCTCCTCGTAGAGAAAAATCTTCAAAATATAACATCTACAGTTCCAGCGTCATAGAGCAAGAGAGATACCATGATACTTAGTACTGATTGACAGCGTCAGGGAAGGCTAAAACTTTTAATCCTTCTTCAACGACCTCCTTATTGCGATAAGTAATCGCATTCGTGGGAATATACTCGAGATGAAAACGCCTTTTATCTTTCAGGCCATGCACTTTTTTGAACTAATGCGAAGGCCCATAATTTTTGAACACTGGAAACCTCGCGTGAATGTTTCCTAAAACCCTGATTAAAGATTCATGAGACGAGATAGACTGAGTGCAAGTTTATGTTATTGTATCTGTGATTTGTCCACATTTCTCCATCAAAAACAAGTATGATCTGGATGAGGTCACCAAGCGTGATCTCCTTTACCTGAGAATAACGCAGGTGATATACATGCTTGAGGCGATGCAACTTGACCCACTGAGAAGAAATTCGAGAAATATTTAGAAAAGCGTTCAATTAGCATTGCTGAAAAGCATTGTCAAGCAAACTTATGAAAAAGGTGATCCCCTCTCTGGGGGAAGATCCTGAGTACTTGAAGAATTTTATACGGACGTTAAAATATTTCCGACGATATACAATACATAGAATACTACGAATCCATATTTATTTATCAGTTTCTATTTGCTAGGTATAGGTCTCGTGGCCCACTGTGCAACCAAATTTGCTTTATTTAGATGTAGTTGCTTTCTCGCTGAAGTGAAAGCGTTTTTCAGTAAAATTCAAAAGGTTACAACTTAAGAAATTAATTAACAATAACAACGAAACATGATAGCAAGGAAACCAGGCTACATGGCACAATAATGCCAAAAAGTCAGTTTTTCAACTAATAATCTTCTTTTTCTCATGGCTGCAAACTTTTCTAAAACCTCATTGAGACTTAGGCTCATCATATTTGACATACCTCTAGTAACATTCAGAATGCTCTTCTATATGAAACCAGTGGCGGAATTAAAGGGGGGGGGCAATTAGAGACAGTTGCCCCTCCCTCAACGAGTTGAAGCAAGTCTGGCGCCCTTTTTGGAAATTGTTCACCCCTTTTGAAGAATGAGAATCAGATGAAAAAGGTTTTGGACCGATTGGTTAACTTGCTTCAAGGATTACCCCAAAAGTTATGTTGTTTATTCTGAAAATGGATCTGTAATTATTGTATACAGTGTACTCTCGTAAAAATTTTTTGAACATTTTTCAGCGCCCCCAATACCAACTGCCCCTCCTTCAAATTTGCTCTGGATCCGCCCCTGTTAATGAAACCTGGTTTCTTCATCAAGGTTCCTCTATTTGGATAGATGTTCAAATTTTAACAAATTCCCGTCGAAATGTTGAAACCTTCGGTCCATTTCTGTGCATATTCCATCCAGAATCGAAAAAGGCAGCACTTTGCTTATAATTTGTACTTGGATCAGTCTCCATTTTTCCAGGTAGACATGGGCCTATATTTAAATCTCTGCCGCACATTCTGGTGTCACGGGTGCTTTGCTGATAGAGACATCTTCAGCATAAAGCAGAACTCTGAATATACATCTTAATTATCGTTTTTGCCAATTGCTTCATGCTTTCCACTGTATAGACCAGACGGAAATGGCGGGGAGTACCACTTTGGGGCGGGGAAATTTTGATTACCAGTTTCGAGTTCTTTATCAACTGGTGATATTGAATTGTGATGGTAAATGGGGATTTGCCGCTGTTTTTTGGGGGTAAAATGGGGGTTAAATCAGGAGAGGTTTTTGCTTATCTTCTGCGAAGGAGAAACGTCGCTGGAATACGTTTTTAACAAAATAAATCTTGTTTAAGCAGTGGAATTTGAAGGATAGCTTATCTTTTTGGTAGAAATACGTTTAAAATAGTAAAATGAGCTTTAATTTGTCACGTGTCGTCTAATTATCCCATGTCCTTACATGGATATCTTATTAAAAATGGGAAAGCAAAATTATCCTTTGATATCGGAAATTATCATTTTTTGATATTATTCTGCAACATAAAATAATCGATAAAAGCAATATTGCTAAGAAGACTATCATCAGGCAGTTCTTGGGATGTGACTTGTGGAGAGTCCTAAAATTTTTCGACAAGCATTCAGATTTCCCGACAAAGAGCTTTATAGGTTGAGCGACGCGCCCTCCCATGTCTCCTATTGGCATCGGCTCTGCATAATCATGCATTTATTCATAAAAACATCCGTGTACACGGGGACACCTGGCAGTAGCTCAAAATTATGAAGTATAACAATCAAAGAAGCTTGCCTTTAATCGATCGCCAAATATAAGTTAACAGCAAATACAAAAGGTCTTTGCAACAGTAGTACATGACAGTGACAGGGCCCGCGCCACGAGTTTTAAAATGGAGGACAAGCAAATAAGTAGGGGGCTAAGGCTTCTAACCCCTCTTATTGCAGCTTTAAAATTGCTTGCTTCGCACAAAAGTGGGAGGGGGGCATGGCCACCCCGGCCTTCCCAGTGGCGCGGGCCCTGCCATAGTAAGCGGCACTGGTAGCTTACTGATTCGAAGGAGACAGATTCTCTAGTCAAGATTGGTGAAAAGTAATGTTTAAACAATAGGAAAGTTTGCATACATACTTGCCACACTTTATGTTCACATCCTACATATAACAATCACTTCTTATATCGTCGACTGCATCGTTAGGGTCCACGTCAACATCGTAATGGCAGCTACTCGAACACACTCTGAGGGCGAATGGCCTATGACTAGGGCCTTACGCCTAGAAACAAGGTGGTATCGGCTCTAGTTTGTAGAGGAACTTGTAAGGCCGATTGATATAATAACTGCCAGGAAGCAATAAATATCCATCGTCAAAGTTTTACTCTGTGGTTGCCAGCGATGAGAAATGGTCAAAAGGAGCAGAATCATGGAATTTATGCAATTGCACCCCAGATAATATCCCGCCGAATACAAATCGCTGAATTGGAAAAATGAACATGGTTTAATCTTATTACCCTTGGGAGTCCTTCAAGAACTGACAAAGCGAGAATATTGCAAATTCGACTCCTTAGGCATTTATTGGATGGTATTTTCCTTTTTTGACGCAGCTTATCCCCATGACGTTGGCAATCCAGCCAAATGAATATGAACAGATTCAGTGAGCAGTAAGACCTCAGTTTAGTCAAAGATCCTGCATGTTCATTATTTTCATTTTCATATTCATCAACTGCAGACAAAAATGCATTACAAAAAGTTCCAGTTTTACCCATTCTACATTTCTCAAGTTTTTAAAAATTCTGCGCAGTTGCAGTTTAAAGATAGATCTAGCATCAGAGTCCAGAAAGGTGTTTAGCCTTCCCAGGGACAACTTCCTGACGTTGTGGAAACCTACCTTCGAAAACAAATAAAAAACCCAGATTACTGAAGGATACTTTATCTTCATTAGTCCATTTCACGGTCTTCGACAGTTTGACCTCCATTTTGCTGGACTTTCAGGGCACATGTCGCTGAAATCTCCGAAAGGCGGCTCATTAGCCTCATTATTTATCCCCATCTTACTTTTGCTGGTCATCCAACTGGACATAGACTGAAAAAACAACTACTCTAACTCTGAAATAAAGGAGAAAAACACCACAAATAAGGTTTTCAGATTTCATTTAAAACTTGTTTGTTGAAATCCAAACAGTCAATATACATACACTGATCATACATTACATTTGAGCGTTTCCATCGAACATTTAACTAAACAATTTATTTTTTATATATTTATTTATAAACTCTTTATTTTTCTGCTACAGAAGAAATTATGGCTTTTTCCTAACAGCTAAGGGAATAAAGAAAATGCAGTGGCTGTATTGATTTAATTCTAAAGAATTATGCGAGTATCGTTGTATTTACTGCAATGCAGTATTCACTAGCATATAGCATATCTTTGGTGACGTCATAGATAGGATGTAGATTGGAGAGGCAATCACGTGGATATATACTTGCAAACGTCTTAGGAAAACAATATAAATACCACGATGGGATCGTCCCCCATTTTCATGTAAGAAAATCTTCTGGTAGCAAGATATATCACGGATTTTGAACAGTAATTACGGATTCATAAGCTACCCTTATCATGTTGGACGGCCTTTATCAAGAGCCATTTAATATAAAATGGGAAATGAAAAAAGACAAAATAGAAGAAAGGTGCGCTTTGGGTCTTTGCCTGGTTGGCATATAATAACCTTCATAGGGGTGTCTGAGTCCAATTGAGGTTTCTTCGTGATTGTTTTTGACATCGTGCTTATTTGATAGACAATATTGGCAAGGAAGTTGGGGCCACGTGCAAAACGGCATAGAATAAATTAAATTCAGCACTCAGCTGTGATGTAATTTATGAAACTTTGAGCAATGTATATTGAAAAAGGACATAGTTTTTAAGTACTACTATATATAAACCAATGCCTGAGAGTGATTTGAGAATAGGCGGGGCTGTAGGATGGGGGTGGGGCTGTAGGATGGGGGTGGGATGGGCAATAATCTGTTTAATATTCTAATCTTGACTTCATAGATTCAATTTAAAAGAAATCATTCTATTGAATGAACAATACAGCAAAGTTAGTTTCTAAATTTTTCTAAAATTCACATAATCTCTACTCCATAAGAATGACGTGCATGTTACGAAAGACACGACTTAAAGATGCACTAACGTTTTTAATTAACCCAGACAAGAATCAGAATATCTATTATTGTATCTATACTTCATTTGATGATTTTGAATAACAACGATTATAATTATATAATAATCAAGATTTTTTTATTTACATTAATAATAAAAACTCTGGATGTATCAACATGACGGTACGAAAATGACAAGTTCAGCTGCTATCAGAAAGATGAACAGTGTTCAAGAAAAGCGTATTCACACCTCTTCAATAAAGCAAAAAGAGGAAGGATGAAGGATGCCTGACGTGTCTTTATCTACACCAAAATAGCAATATCGGATAAAATTTGTAATAAATTAAACCGAAGACTTTAACAAATGCATTTCCAGTTACTTGAAAACTCGATAATTTTTAACTGTTATACCCTAATCAGAATATCTTCAAACGAAGAATTAGCTGCAGACATGCACACCGATTGGGGTGATCATACGCGTGTGCTATTCACCGCGCGAATCAGCTGTTTCTTCGAATACGTTGAATTTTGTTTCCTTCCACAATTATACTTCATACAATGCCGAAAGGTTGCGTTTAACTCGGATGCCCGAGCATCATTCGAGGGTCCATGGGAAACTTTGGCATGTGTCCTCTGCAATGATAGTATGGCGTTGAGTTTCGATACATCATAGGTGGTGCGCGCGGCATTATCATTTTCCGCGGCCTAGGACGATCAAAGTAGAAATGTCTATCCGCCCGTAAGGAGTCCGCACAAATTCCCTCTTGCATATTTCGAACTTTATCAGCTAGAATTCGTATTTGTAAATTTGAAATGTCCACAAGTTTCATTCTAATCTTATTGAAGTCTGATGGAAGTCCAGTTTCTAGAAACCTAAAACAAAAATACACATTCAGTTAAAAAGGATGTTAAACTGAATCAGAGAAGCGCATTAAGTAGGGTGAGGGACAGAAACGATGAGAAATTTCTTGCCATCAAACTGAGGACTAACTCAGTATAGCCGGGATAGCATAAATGGAGCAAAATGTGATTTTGGAGGTAACATGCCGTTTTCTCTTACTTGCTGCATTATCTTCGAGGCATTTTCTTAGTTTAACAAAACCATAAATTGGAAAGACTGTAGCAAGTAACGGCCTACTATGAATTTATAGTGTCACTACCCTGAATCTTTTCAAGCTGTAAGTTTGCCAATCAATAAAAAAAGAACTATTTAGCAAATATACTAAGTGATGCTCAAGGCCACGAGGAAACAACCCCCGGTGAAGAAGGACCAAATAAACAGCATTCATATGAGTTCATCAATCATGGATCACTGGTCACCGAAAGGCAAAGAATTTAACCTTAATGTTACATAAAAAGCTTATATTCCCCTATTCGGACGAACAAAATGCACCAACCATTAATACGCGGGCAGCAGGTTGATCGCCTTAATGCTACCGGCTGATTTAATACTATTGTCGATTTACCCAATCAACATGAAAGGACGCTGCGTACAGAACAAAGAATTCACAGGCAAAGCCAATCAGAAGCGTCTCTTGACTTTGTCCAGTAGAAATACTTAGTAACGAGATGAATATTCTAGATTCTTCTTTACACGGGTCAATAGCAATTACGCCTCCGACCTATTCGCATATATTCTTAATACTGTGTAGAGGTTAAGTACATTTAAAACTTATTGATAAACCTGATTTATCTCTATACACAATCCCTACTCGAAATCAAGAAGTATTAACAACACGCGATTCTTAGCCTAGGATTTTGGGGCTCAAGAAGAAGAAACAAACGATATTAACAAACAGCTTTAGAGATAAAATTCTTAGAAGGGGGATTCCTTTGCACGAAAGCTCCTGCGTCTATGTTAAACGCGCTGATTTACTGCATCTACCGCTTGTAACATTCCCCATACTTCACTTTGTTTATACATAAGAAACTTTGCTATGACAGTGTTTAGAAAATTTTTCGCGATTAAGTGTTTTATAAATTCTAATCTTTAGCCATCACCTGCACTTTATGTCTTTAGACTTCAATATGAGCTCAAATCTATCATAAAATCAATAACGGACAAAATCGTTGGACTTTTGCAGGTTTGATGAGGGCTTGTTAGCCGTTAGCACAAGAGTTTAATCCAATGCTGATACGAAAAGGTAGCTGTGTTTTGTCAAAAACGACATATTCAGTCAAACGGCCTTTAACAACGAGCCAATAATTTACCTTTGCACAAGGCATGCCACAGGGTCTCCATTTAGAAGTGGTACGGGGACTTCTGCAGAACACAAAGGAGGTCGCAGACTGTGGATGGCCGAATCTCCAAGCAGGGAGACGAGCCACATATTGTCTTTGAGCCAATGACTGAGAATTTCTCGCCTTTCAAAATACAATCGAAGCTTGACCCAGTCGTCGACGTGGCCCTTTTCAAGGTATTTTCTACGAAAAAAGCAACAATGTATTAGGTGCTATGAAATTTCCCTAATTTTGCTACAAATCATTATCTTTATATATACTACACATATCTAAATATGCAATGCAGCTGCCGAGGAGCAAGGTAAAAAGAAATAAACACGAATAGATATATATATATATATTGATACATATATATTCAGAATTTGCCTGCTTCCCTGCCTTTCCTTAATTTTTCATCCGGATCTAATTCCACCCAATCAATGACCAGGAATTGTTAAACGTTTCTTTAAATTAACACTTTGGAAAAAGGAACTCAAGGATACTTAAGGTTTCTAGCTATCTGAACTAAATTTTTGTAGAAATAGGAGGCCAATATACTTTTTGTTGAAAACAGATGACTGTTGCTCTTCTCTACATGACTAAGGAATAAAAGGGCTAGCATAATTACGTTTTCAGTTAGGGACCACGTCGAAAGAACCCCACAGTTCAACGCTGCCCCAGTTACGACTCTCGACTCAAGTTTATGATATTAATTTCATAAATACCTGAAGCAGTCGTGTCTTCGAACGAGAATCGAAGATCGATGTTCCTTTCTGTACTGTGTCCCATGTTGGTTTTGCCACAACCAAACTTCGTGAAGACGTTTTACAAAACTACATGCTTTGTCCAAGAAATCTTTTACGGCTAATTCCTGCTCCCCGGCAACAAGTGAAAGCTATCAAAGAAAAATAACAATTATATGGCGGTCAAAAACAGTTTTGGACATCATGTTAACAGTGTTTACAATCAGTCGCAAAATTCTCAAATTTATCCAAACTACGAAAGGCTTGCAAAAATTCAATTCTCCAGGAAAATGGTAGGCTATATTGTAATTGGCTTAGGAAATTAATATTTAGAAAATGTTTTTTAACTCCTCTAAAACACCTCCACAACACTCCTTTGTACCTTTACAAATTGTGCTGATGCTTGATTTCCTTCTAAAAACATTTTGCTTTTTACATGTAGTAAAGCATGATATAGCTGTTGCTGGACTGATATAAACCTCTCAACTAATTTTTTTAGAGGTCATGATACTGTTTGACAGTTAAAGTGTACATCACTTTAGGAGAAAGAGATTCCAAAATGAACACTTAAAGGCAATCTGTCACGACGTTGATTGATAATAAGAACAAAGGGATTTTTTATTGTTTCCAGTCCCCTTTTAATCTATCGCATTGTAAAAAATATGGCGGAGCCCTGGAACTGTGTTTAGGCTATTGTTCCAGCTATTGTTCTCGTTAACCAATCCACAACGAGACAGATTGCCTTTAACAAAATGTTACAATTAAAGATCACAATTGCAAGTTTGGAGAAGTCTAGACGCCAGTCTTGACTACAACCAACTAAGGGAAAACCAAACTACATAAGAGATGAACCCTTGTATCTTGACTTCAAAACATAATTACATTACCTCTTTGTTTACATAGTCTAACGCATCTCTGTAATCTTGTGCTAAAACGTCTCCATGTCTAGGTGGCCATAGCTTTAGGCTTTCTTCTTCTAGCCAGCTCTTGAATCTTCCACAAAACTCTGCATAGTCCTTAACAGTTTGGAATCCTCCCTTTAGCTGACCGTCAATATACATAGCAGTTATCTGCGTAAAAAAAGAAGATTGTCAATTTAATTTACTAACAGATCCACTTGCAACTGTGTTAGTTAAATCTCACGTAACGCAAACTTAGCACAACGAAATAGGTTTGTAGAAAAATTAGATTAGCTGTAGAGTAGAAATTTTAAGGTTGGTAGAAAAATACACGATTATATGTTTAAGAAGGGAAATAACGGTCATCAAAGTTGACAGTGCAAAGACACGGAATAAAAACACTGCTTATCTTTGCCAGTTAAAATAACTGAGAATTAGTTAGAGATTTAGACAATATATTGTAAACTATATCTGAACTTTTTGCCTGCAAAGGTGCTCTTTTAACGGGTCATACCAGCTTTGACTAACATCTTACGCTCATCAACCATATTTAATTTTGTTTTTCATTAAATTAGGTTTTTAATTCAATCTCATTCTTGTATTCTACATTTTGAGAAAAGGAACCTTCTTATTTGATTTAATTTTCAACAAAACACAACTTAAAACTCAATCGCAATTTGTATCAAAGTCAAGAAGAGTCGACTGTAGAAATTATTAAAAATACGAAGCTAATAACCAACCAAGTCTCAACAAGAAATCGTGACCCTGAAACTTAACTATTAGCACAGGCGCTGAAACAGTGAAGGAAAATTGACCCGATTCTGTGAATGAAAATCTTTCAAACGAAAATTCACCGTACTGTGCACGAAAATACAAAATATCCTTTAGATTATAAGACATGAACCTCCATGCTTTTTCCTCAAATACGTCTAGACAGATAAAGATCGAGAGCTTGCTCAGATAAATTGTTATCCTAAAACTCTTATGGCTGTGAGAAAATTTAACAACGATTCTTTGAGCAATAAATCCAAAGATATGCTGGGATTTAGGGCGATCAGAGCTACACACACGAGGTTAGGTACTGGGAATAGCCCGAAAAACAACCAGGAGTACTTCATGTAACACATAACTGACTTACGATTCGTTCTGGATAACATGTCAGACAGTTTAAATAACGAAGGGTGTTTGGTTGACTCCATGAGGATAGTCATTGTTGAATCATGCATATATGCAAACAGTTTTTCTCCTGATGTGACCTCACATGAAGATTATCTGTTCAAATATTTGTCACAGTTGTACTTGTTATATAAAAAATTATCGTGTTTTGAAAAGAAACATATGATTTATCGAGAAGAAAAAATTAAGGCACGAAAATATTGGTAAAACATGCAAGGGCGAAAGTCATTACAACTCGTGTCACGAGAACTTATTCAGACGGTTCGCTGGAGCTTGTTCGTCATTAGTTCACAACTAGTTTATAGCTTAATGGCTCAAGGGTTGCCCGTAACCTTCTCTTACGAAAACCACAATTGGCTCATTCGTTGAAATGAAGAGTACCGAGTACTACGTGAAAATTTGACAACTCGATTTCACGCAAAACATAAAAACCAGGAGAAAAAGTAAAAGGAGGAAAGACTGAATAAAATTCAAAAAGATCGTTTTATTAGAAAATTTATCTGAAATTGCTAATGAAAAACGCTATCGACTATTTGGAAATATGCTCGGTCGGGAGGACTGCGAATAGAGAAAGGGGAGACTGGCAATCACAAAAGTTATGATTTTGAAAAACTGTCTTGAAAAATTGTAACAAGATCCGGTTAGTGGTAGACTCGCGGAAAAGCCATAATACGGAAACCGATATGGAAAAGGCCTGCTATTATTTGAAAAAATTAATTATAATTAAAAAGTATTCCAAAAAGCTTTGGTTAGACTGCAAATGAATCGTCCCGAAATCAAAACTGTCTTTCAAAAACCGAGTTCTAACATGACAAAAAAAAGAAAGGAACGAGAGTATTGATCAGCCTCAACCTTAGAAACTGCAAGAAATCCATCTTTTGAAGATAGGTTGATAAATAATAGAGAGCAGAACTCTGATTGGACTGTTCGGGTGGTCTATTTCATGCTGTCTTATGTTACGTTTTTGTGTTTCTAAAATATTGCTCTTTTAGCACTTTCTAATTAAGAAACCTTTAAAAACATAAAAGCATTTGACAAACTAGACTACTAATCCTAAGCTTAGTTTCTTGAAGAAAGCTCTCGTGGGCCTAAGGCTTTTGAAAAGTAAAATAAAAGTACAAGATATGTTCTATAACGAAAGGTATACAGGAACAAAGCAATACGACGACGAGAATCCAATGTCACGAAATAAATTTTCAAAATAAATTAAATTTAAGAGTATACTAATATTTCGCCCCGGCATACAGGGCTTAATCAGAGTAAATGTTCTATAACCTCTTGTGCCTTCATGGGCTCTCTAAATAAGCCTCACAGATACTGTTACTCTTACATGTGCGAACCATTTAAACAAAACGCGTTAAGTCCTAACATTGAAAACTGGTTGGGAGAGATCTTGAAAACGGGACCGTCGAAGAACATTAAGGCCGTTAGTTGGCACCCACACTGGATCTACTTTAATCGATGCGAGTAAAAGCTATTTCTACAGGATAATCCAGAAGAATATTTTGCGTTGCAAAGATCACGACGAAGCTTGAAAAGATTATGCCCCTCATCAAGTTAATTGATGTGAATTAGCGCAACGGTGAATTCTCTTTCCTTTTTAAACTCGTTATTTATGCTGTGGTTACGACTATTTACATTATATAAATCTTTCACTCACAAAAGAAGTCTCGCAATACCTATGACTCAGTTTTAACGCAAATACGTCGAAGAACCTGGCGCCAGGTTCCATCGAAGATTTACCCTCCTTTGCTAAGCATCGATAAAATCAAGGTCAGGCATAAAATTCGGAACGGTTAATAATTAATAAGGAACAGAGAACAATGAACTCAATACCTTTACAATATTCAATCTTAACAACAGATTTCTCTTGTGGGAATAATCAGTTCAAAAATTTGCTTTCTATTTGGTGGAAACAAAATTATGATTTTCTTTCTAAACAACAATATGACATTTTTTGGTTTTAAATTATTTTCATTTCAGCAGTTGGCTTACAATGAAACCATTTATAAGCAACAGGCTTATCTATTGATTCAGTTGATAGATGACACCCTCGGGCCTATTCTTAACATATATTAAATGGCTGTTCGGTTTTCCAAGTTTCAAAGGCCGCCACAACGAACGATATCTGCAATTTCCTGATTCTTATTTGTGTGTTTTTTGACAATAAATCGCGGATTATGATTCACTGCTATTTACAAACTGCAATAAAAGAAATCTCTTCATCCAGAGAAATGTTGACTCGCAGAAACAACACAACGCCACCTGAGTCTTGTCTACCCACAAAAATGTGTTTTCCGTCTTTTGTGATCCATAAACAAAATCATTACTATACATTTGCTTCAACTATTACTATTATCCAATGACAGATTCGTTGACAGGTTCATTATTGAACCCAGGCCTTGTGACGCACAGGCCTAAAAAGATCGAATCTTACTAAAAGTGGAAAATACTGTGCATCTGTGGATCATGTCCTAAATGACGAATGAATATCAACACAGGCAAATAATCACTACTATCGAATTTTGTTACCCTGAGATCCTCAGTGCCTGGTTCTAAAAATCTATGTATATTCAACTGGCTCGTGCTCTTAAACAAGCTATCCACGTAAGACTGTGAAGGAAATCAACTAAAGGTGGTTCTGTTTTCCTTACCTTGTGTAGCATGTAGACATAGGTAACTTTTGGCATATGCTCTGTAAGTGCTCGCAGTGCATCTCTGTTGCCGACATCCCTGTCTTCGAGGTATTGGTACCATTTCTGCCGTCGCGAAGTATGCAGTGACAGTCGATAATGCTCTTCTAGAGCTTGTCTATTTCTTAGGCATCTTTTTAATACATAGTTTTGCATTGCGATACGACCTCCGTGCTTTTTGACAAATACCGAGTATAATTTCGTCCATTCATAATGACAAAGTGGGAACATATCTGGCCTATCATCTAAATTTGAAAAGAAAAGAATATTTATTACATATGCTTGATTTCGTAACTAGCAAAATCTATGAGTTAAACATCAAATGTGTGATTTGTGACTAGATTGAAGAACTACCATTGCTTTCGATGTTGATAGCACAGAGAATAAAAGCAAAAGTTAGAGATCACAGAGGCCAAACAACATTAGAACAAAATCACTTGGAAGGTTACGTACCCCCTCCCACTACCCCCCATCACCTGTAAAACGTCCCTAACAAAATTTGCCAGGAATTCCAGACGAAAGGTAGATAATGAGGTATTCTGACCTCTATTGGCGACTGTACTTTCTATTGTTAAAGGCATTTAGATAATGTTTATTAGTAGGTTCTTACTGGGCCACATGAGAAGTAGGCCTAGTCACTGAAATGCATTAAGACAAGGACTGTTCATTGCAAAGTAAACTGAAAAAGCAGTACATCGATAACCATAAACATACCAGATTCGTCAAAGTACATTTCCTCTAATTCCTCCTCGGTTATTCCCCAAATTGACTTTACTTGGCTAGCCGTCAAGTGACCGACAACATGACAAGGTGGTTCTGGGTCATTAGATACCAAACAATGACAGAGGTTTTAAGCTGACTGACAGGCTTAAAAAAGTTCTGATCGTAACGAAGGGCATCAGCTTTGTAGAACATTTCGTACAAATAAATAAAGGAGAATTCTGGCCATCTTGTGTGGAGACCGAAATCAATCTGCAATGAAAAGGCCGAAAATTTCAAAATTTTTAAATCATCATATGCTAAATTACTATCGAAAAATAGAAAGTAAAGAGTAATAGTAATAATAGTCATGTGAAGAGTAATAACAAACATCAAACACTAAGAAGTACAGAAATCCATGCCAATAATGTTTGACTGTTTTTAAAAATTTAACATTAGTTTGCCACTATGGAGAAAAATTGATTCTAGAGGATCATCAGACAACAGAGGAGTCCCTTTATCTTGTTTAGCAACTACGTTGTTGCTTCACCAAAGTGGTAGATACAGGTTCTCTAGGCCTTGTATTCTTTACTGGGACTTCCACTAGACATCAAACATAATCTTTGATGTTTCATTACAGTTACAATCACTGGCGGTTTTAGGGACTGCGGGGCCCGGGGCCAAAAATATCTGCGGGGCCCTTGTTCTTTACAAATTCCATCTTTTTTCTTAGGTGTGGGGCCTCTTTTGGCTATCATGGCACCCTGGATCCCCCTTAAAACCGCCACTGGTTGCAATAACATTTTTGTAGGACATTTCCTGATTACAAGCTTCATAAAACCAATAGCCTTTGTAAACATTTGCTATCACTGGTTGAAAAAAGTGGGGCAACGTTTCCTAAAGAGAGTCCTCGTGTAGGATGGAAAATTCTGCGCACTATGTATACAATCATTTTGATTTATAAGAAACTAAACTCGTGATTAGAACTGAGCTCCTTAAATTTTTTGATATTGGAAGCAAAGGTTACGTAAACTCTAAATGGTGTAGAGTTAATTCTAAGAGACGCAAAAACGCAACATGAGAAAAATCTTATCAAGAGATAGAAACACCTAATTAGTCTAATCGAAATTTCTATTTTTCTATGTCATTGAAACAGGAAAAAGGTTGGTTCCAAGTCGTCAAAATCATTCCAAATCCAAACCTATCATTAAAACAATGTGTTTTAGAGCAGTTTATTGAAGATGGTGCGTGACATTTTGTTACAGAAACAGGGTTTGAATAAATGCAGCAGGACTTAGAACAGGGTCCTTTCCGCCTCTGTTTTTCTCTCTCCCGGCAAGACCGCATAGGTATAGCGGAGCCAATAATATAAGAAAAAAGCCAATCAGGGAGAGAATAGAGACTTTGAAATTGCAATGACGCGAAGTCGTTTGTGATGCGCGCTTCGTCAACAAGTTGTTGAACATAATCGACTTAACAAGCACCTCCTACCATTTCATGAACACAGAAATAAAAGGGTTGGTGTGTGAGACATATTGCCGACTCTTTTCAACTTATCTCCGCTCCTTAACACTTTGTGGGCAGTTTGCCAGTGTCCAAAGGAAAGAAGCAAAACAGATATTGAAACGACAACATTTGTCCTGACAAAAGGAAACAGCTTAGAGAGAAAGGAGAATCTTCTATTGTCAGCTTACCGTGGCTTTTGCTTTCTTCAAAGTCAATAGTAATAAAACCCATGAAATTGTCCATTATAGTAATAGAAAAGCATTATAAACTAAAGGCATTGAAAAGGATTACTCATAACGACGCTTAATTTTGCATGACCCTTGACAGAGAAAAACAAAACATCAACAACCTCGGAATCTGTAATTTTCCCCAAAATGAAATTAGTCCTTAAAGATGGGATTTTACGCGCAAAACCATTGTAATGATGATAACATGCATGGTTCGCCCACTTTCATCGACCCATAATCTTCCAATAATGGCGATTTTGGTATCCTTTTCTTTCTCTTTTGCTCTGTATATAAATTGCCTTATCAGTAACTCTTCCTTTGCTGGCGAAGGAGTTTACATAGTGCAGGGGGATTCCAGCTGCCGACAGTGAGGCGCACAGGCAGTCCATACGCACAACATCGAAAGAAGAACCAGAAACTTCTCCAAGCTTTCTCACTTGCTTCACAAAATACAAAGCAACTGCCAAGATTGATACTGCACATTCAAGTGACCCTCAAAATATCTTAAGATTGTGCATTATTATATTCAAGTTGTAACTGGTGTGCATTTTATTTTTAACTTTGTTGACTGTTCTGTTGCAGTATTGTTAAACTTTTGTCTTTAAAATTCCTTCAAAACAGATCTTAAGAAATCCTTGAAAATAAAATAATGTAGCTCCGACACACAAAGAGAGACATCTAAAATGGCTATCTCAATAACGATTTTCTGTTCTTTAAGTGCCCATCTTGAAACACAACCTTTGATTCGTGTTATTTTCCATGCCTTTTGATTAATTATTTTCAGAGTAGCTGTTAGGAGGAGGGATAAAAACGAGCACAATGAAGTAAAATACTAAACTAGAAAACGCCACATAAGGTCAATGCGGAACAAGATTAATTATGACGTCACTTATGAAGACTTGAAACGTCACAACTGCGAAACATAATCGAGCAGTGATGCGTCGACTTGCATTGTTAGCTATGGCGTCACTGGCGACATTATAGCTCAAAATGGCAGACATAGACCCCATCAAACATGTGGCCAACACCGGACTGGAATACGAAATAATGTGCCAATTCACTTGATTTCAAATGTGCAACCAGTTGTATTTTAATTCAAATTTAATCAGGTATTCGCAACTTGAAAAATGCGTGTTTGCTAACCACCTTACAGAGGGCACAATTCCATAATTTACACATTCAGACCCATTGAATTGCCAATGCGGTCACTGGTGCTCAACTATTTAGTGATCAAATCTCCTTTGACACTGATGTAAATATAAGTCGCTGGTGCCTCATACACTCAACATCGTGTTGCGATATTCTTAAAGTCAGAAAAAGACTAAGTATGAAAGGGAACCGCGTTATATAAATATTTTATATTATAAGAAGATCTTTTCCAACAGCGCTTATCCTTGGCCAGAAGAAAGGACTTAAGTGATACACGACAAAACTCCGAACTACCGTTCGCCTCGCGTATTGTTATCTGAGAAATAAAGGCTTGTGGCCTTCCTCGGAGGCTTTTCTTAACGAAAAATATATTAGGATATACAAAGATTGCTTCTCTATAAACTCAACACTTATTTCAAATCTTTTTCTTCAAAAGCAAAGCTATGAGACCCTAAAATTTCCAGTATAAGAATCGGTCTGTCTTTGGAGAGCTGAAAACTGCTGAAAAGTCAACAAACTTGAAGTTGAACTGAAAAATTATTTGTCTCGACCGGTCTCGACAAAGCAAATCCCCTAAATTAGTTGCATTTACTGCAATGGTTTTCACATCGCAACCAGAGTAATATCATATGCTCATAGATACATATTGAATATAGAAAATATAAGCAAATGTAATGACTTATATGAGAGGCTTTAGATGAACATTACAGAAATAAAAATGTATTTTTAATAATAATAATTTTTTACTGTAAAATTTCAGATCCAAGTCATTGACATACACGTTTTAAGTGAAACGAATTTTCAAAACATCAAGTGATAAATTTTGCTGTTCATGTGAATCATCAAAAATGGCTTTTGGCAAACTGCGATTAATTTCCGATAATGTTTTTATGACAAAGATCTGTCCTTATTCAAAGGTTGGGTAAATTTACCTTTGCCTCAACTGAATTCAGTAATCTCCGTTTAGTATATGATCAGTTCGTTCAAACCATAGGAGTTTCTGAACGCCTTGTATTTTAGGTTTAGGTTACCATGAAAGGACTTAGCGTATCAATTTCCCTTGTCACGGAAGCAGCAAACTTGGGACTAAAACTTCTGACCCGTTTCCCAACTAAAAGACAGGCTTCATCGATCACATTTAACTAAAACTTTAAGGGGTTAATGAATGAAAATAAAGAACACCGTTAGTCGCTATTTCTCCAGAAAAGACACAAATGCCTGCTTGCTACCATATGCCTTTATTTGACGAAAATTCTTTTGTTGACATCTGCATAGCGATCCTGCTTAGGCCCGGATCCCGCTTGCCCATAATCGTGGTTTTGCTAAAATCAACGACTATTCCGACCATCAAACTCCTAATGAATCTCGATAAAATACATATGAAATATTACAGTTAGGATCTTTTTGCAAGCATGGGCTTTCCGTGGGGATACATCTGAGAAGTATTCGTTAATAGGTGGTGGCTTGAGAAGGGTAACGAAAATTATTACGAAGACTAGGAATAATAACTCGGTAGTTCAACTTACCTTACATCTCTGTTTCCAAATTGTATCCATAACACATAAACGATGAAACTGTGTCGAAGTTTTGCTCAAATTTATCAAACCGAAAGCCGGAATTCGCTCTAAGATCAGAAGTAACACTTCTTCGCTTAAGTCACAAAGTTCTAAAGATATCTCTTCAATAATTTCTTCTTTTTCTACACATTCTGTTTCTGTTTGTGCATGACTCCTCAGTTTACAAGAACTCCGTCTCAATTTAGATGAAGTTTGTTTCCGTGACATCCTAGTTTCCGAAATTTTCCTCGGTGGTACAATACATTGTGGTATGATTCCATATCGTTCAACTTGCTTTCGGATTCGTTTCGGTCTTTGCTCATACTCCGATGAAAAATTCTTGCGTTTAGAACTCAAACTTCGTTCTCCCATCTCGCCCAGGATCTAGGCAAGCTATGACTGAATCACCAGGCGAGATGTCTGTTTAATCTTACCCGAGTAATTTATTGAATTAGGAGAATAATAAAAAGCGACCACTGTGAGCGTGTATAACTTGTTATTAAGCCTTGACAAAGGCTTTGCCGTACGTTTATCACCGTGCCTGTTATGGTTGGCAATCACTTCTTATTCTCTAAAACAATACGGAAAAAAGAATAAAATTTCGGCGTTATTTTCACACGTGCATAGTTGTAGTCATCACGACCGCCCAATTATTCCGTGAGATGGTTTTTAAAACCCCTACAGCCCTCTAAATACAATACGAACGATGTAAATAAATTCCGCGCTATTTTCACACGTGCCTTGATTTGACAGCGCGGACATCTCCATTTAACAATCGCGAACTCCCCATTAAACCATGGTTATTGTATTGAAGAATCCCTCAACAATGGATTGGAATGAATACGAATTCCGCGCTCTTTTCACATGTGCATAGTTTCGCCATTGCGCATGCCAATTTCTCACCAGCTGGCACCGACGGGTTTCCTTTTCCAAACTTGTCAGCCTTATTTACTGTTGACTTTTCCGGGGGCGATGTCTTAATGTAAACAGCTACGGGTGAATGAATGGCGACGGGAAATTAATACGGGGGATTAGCAACATAAAGGCCATCTCACCCGAACAGAGGGAAACGCTTATTCTAACAGGATTTCGGACACGTACTTCTGCTTTCGGACAATAAAACTGGATTCTCAGTGGGAAGGCAGTGTCAGGAGGTCCGCCATTGCTCATTTCACGAAAAGGGAGTTGTTTAAAATTGGACCTTGGCCAAAATTGATGTAGATCGCCAGATTGGAATCGAAGGGCGAGGGGTCTGCAGGGCCGAATCGCCGAAGCCCGAAACCAATAGAAACAGAGATAGAGAAACAAGGGGAATATACGGCGGACGATATACGCAGATACAACGTCAGATGTATCACTGTTTTTGTGAAAAACCTCTTTGACAGCATCCAACAGAGGCCTGAAACATTTGCCCGAACTCCAAACCCAACAAAAAAGTCCGGGGCTCAACTATGAGACATAAACTAAATTTACAGAAGTATATAGTTTTGACAGGGTTTGATGTTTTTATTTTTTGATAATCTGTGGTTCGGGTGTTCTAAATACTTTTCTCATTTCAATATTGCTTTTACTACAACTGCATACTGTAAATTGGTTCCAGGCCACAAAAAATCCACATCAAGTACTTACTCCAGTTTCTTGACGCTTTCGGAAATTTCAATACCGTTTATTTCTTAAGAGTTTCTAAATTGTGATGTCATTACTTTTAAAAATTGGGGCTCTTCATTCACTTTCCATGCTCATGATTTTTTCCATTAGAATAAAAAGTTTTTGGGGAATGGTTTTCGAGGCTGCGAACAGCAAGACTCGATTCTTTTTATGGTTTCTAATGCTTGTGGCATTTCTGCCAATCAAGACCGCTTCCGTTCTAAAGCTGTACTTAGATAAGGAAAATATAATTATTTTGTTTTGGGTTTTTTAAATTGAATTATTTCTTTGTTTTTATTCGAGAACTGAAGTTTCTTAATTTTTCTGATTGCTTTTCTGTACGAGTCAGTTAGTTATAAAAATGAGAACAATTTTTTGGCGGTACAGAGCTTGAGTATAAAGAGTATAAAACGTCAGGATAAGGGTCCGAAAGAACACAATGGAAAATATATACCCATTTGTGGGTCGAAATAGGACAATCAGAAAAATCCAAGCACATGACCGGGAAAGTTGGCCAATCGGTGCTGCGTGCCTATAGAACATAGCCTGTGTCCCAGACCCCTCTACTTTCAAGTTAGGGGTCTGGAGCACTGGCACTTGCTGTACGTCTTGGCCGCATCTGCCCTTCTTGTCAAAGGTCATGTGCTTCATTGCCCCTATTACACTTTTGGTGCAGACATTATCAGCAAATAAAAAATCGAAAGTTATGTTGAGCAGTCAAACGCAGCTTTTGCCTAAGAAAGAAAACAGGTAAGTTTTCAAAAGGCTTTTTGGGTAGCTCCACTTTTCAGGGCAGTGGCGTGCTCCGACAGACATGAATGGGGAATTAAAGCGTGCCTTCCCTCCACTAGCTTACAGGTCCAGCCTGACCCGACTGGTACCACCTGGCAGGGTTCCCTAGCTCAGGGCTACGAGCGATGGCCAACGGCTTACTCGGCGGGAGACCGGCAAGGAGGGCGGATGAGCTACGGCTCCAGGGGTCAACGGCTTCGGGCGGAAAAACTCCTGGAAAGAGGGATGATGTCCCTTTAAAAACACTGTAGAGGTGGTTCTGGTGGCCCATCTCTACTATTAGCCCTTTAGTTTTATCTATGACCATGACAACAAACCAAAACTCAGATTTTGGGATAGTTGGAGGGTCATGGTAGCCAGCCAACCTTCTGATAGAAGATGGTACCTGATGATGATGATTAGTGCCCTTACATTCCTTAGTTATGCTTTAAACAAAACACAGCTCTGCTTCGCTTTCGCAAATTGGTTTAAAGAAGACAACACCATATCGATATTCCGCCAGACTAAAGGAACAGCCTGCTCATTTCCTCCTCAAAAGCATTTTCGTCGACGTGCAAAATCATTTCGAAAAGCAAATATATCTCGCGGATCGGTGTGATGATTTGCTAATTGTTGTGACCAAATTGTCACGAGGATGCAACGGGAGGTTATATTATCTAGATTTGAAATTCTTCTACGATATGGAAATCAATTTTGGGACGGTCTTCTGTAAACGGAAATGGCATGTCTGTTTTCATCACGGCCTGCCGTCGTCATCACTGCTCACTGCTACTACCATGTCAGTGCTGTCGGAACAAAATTTATATTTGGGGGGGGGGGGGCTGCCCATTTTATTTAAGGAAACATACTACGGGCCTGTAAGTATTCAATTGTTTATCACGAGAAATCAGGTAAGATTGCTCAATCTATTTCTGTCAAAGCAAAAAGGAAATAAATTGGAAACATTGCCCCGTTGATTTTGTGGCTGAAATTGAAGCAAAGGCAGGAAGGGTATACTAGCCTGTGCCGTCGGAACGAAATTCATATTGGGGGGGGGGGGCTGCCCATTGAATTCCTCCTCATTTTGTACATTGTTATAAAGGAAACATACTACAGTTTGACGATCATTGGGGGGCTCCAGCTCCCCCACCCGGTAGCTGAACATACTACACCAAGAGTGCAACGCAACGAGAATGAACAACCACAAACAGCAATGGCTAATATTTCGTCAGAGCAAAAGAGCCTACCCTACAGCCCTGAAAGCATAGAGATAGGATAATTAAAATTATCCTATCTCTTTGCCTGAAAGCAAGACAGCAGCAACAACAATATAACTTTTTACATGCTGCTATAATGCATAAAGTGACATCTACGTTATAAGAATAAGCGAACCCTATATTTATAGAACCCAGCAATTATTTGTGATGACAACCAGATTTCGCGACTTGCCCCCGGAGAAAGGCGAAAGTGTAAAGTTTGAGAAGCCTATGCTACATTGAGGAAAGACAAAAAGGTAAGAAGGGAACTTCCGATCCTTGGCTTAGAAAGCTAACAGACAAACCAAGGTTAGCAAAGATCAAACCAAGTGTTGATAATAAAGCACTGTAGGCATAGAGGTTCTGTTTGTGCAGTAAATTGTATGGTCGGAACAACTTGCAGAATTGGTGTGGGTTTAGATCGCCTCCTTCAATGTAGGCCAACGAACTGCACAGTAGCTTGTGAAGAATTTCCAAATAGGTTTTGGTTTGATCACACATTTCAGTAAAGATTTGTATAAGAACCAAATAAAAACTGCTGAAGCTCAATGTTCTTAAATTTAAGGCTCAAGTGTTCTAAATTTTGTTTTTATTTCAACAATGAATTTTCAGTAAAATGTTTTATTGTTTCTAAGGCCATTAATTAATAGTTCTGCGCTGTATGCTCTTTTTCGTTTTTTACTGTGAAATTTTCAAATGAGAGTGAAATTTCCAAAAACTCTTCTTTCTACTTCTTGTTTTTTATCTGTCATGGCATGTCTTTAATGTCTTTATGTTGCTCTTTTTTCTTGGCTTATCATTGTCTTTTGATGTGCGTTTTTATAAAATCATTGAATTCGGAAGCCCAAACCAAGTGCAAAATGATATCGTGGTCGACCATATTCCCCCAGTGCCCTATGATGGATAAACAAATTGGGGTGTAGTTATGTTTAATAAACGTTTGCTTAAGACAATATCGATGAAGGGAATTGGTTATTTGAGACCAAGATTTGTGTACGTTATGTACGAACCGAAATTATCTGGTTCTTAGAAAAAATAATTTATTGTAGTTTAATCAACAAACACCCACAAATCTCGAAATAAAAAAAATGGTTCGGTACCAAGAACTCGTTATTTCCAATTTTTTTTAAAAATCAGATTGGCTGAATAAAAATATACTAGCAATAAATAAAAAGGGAATGCGCGCATGCAGTGCAGATTTCTTGAGGAAGGTTTATTACTCTGACGGTTTCTTCTAGAAATCATTAACAGATCTTGAAAGAGACAACAGACTTTTCTTGGGGCTCCATAACCAGATCTTCTTCTCTGTTACCCCCTTCTTTAGTTTCAGCTTCCCATTTAGCTTACTCTTGGTGATTTCTGCATTGGCCATTGCTTGTGCGTCCAGAGTTACGCCTTTCGTGTAAAAAATTCAGAAGCAAAAGCTGTTGTGGGATATTTGAAAAAGGAATGACGGAAAGATAGGCATAGATTAATTCAAGAAGACCTATTTCATTTTCAAGAAGACCATTTATGTTTCATGAACCTCAGTAAAATTTTGGAACGGTAAACCCTTGCAGTCGCTAGTAAACGGTACGTAACTTGCCACAAGAAAGAAGGAAAAAGATAAATGAAATTCCAACGAATTTGAAAGATGGGGTCCTTCTTTGGGGTTACATTTGAAGGTATGCCGTTGGAAACATTGATTGGCACAACTCGCCCAAGACACGCAGCCATCGCAAACGTTGTTCAATAGAACAAAATGATGCACGAGCGGACAAAGCGGGGGACTGGGGGCTGGCACCCCTTAAAGTCGCAAACATCGATAAAATGAACAGCTAATCGAACTAAATGCGGGATACGCTAATGTAATGATGTAAACCTATAACAGGATTCGGGCAAGTGTCTTGTTCTCTGCTTATTTGAATGTTACAGAGGGATATGCACTGGATGAATTCTGTGTGATAGAAAAGACAGGGCTTGGTGGTGACCATTGGGAGATGGGGGATAGGTTCCGATGACACTATTGGTGAAGTTAAGGAGTAGTCAAGCTAAAATCCTAACTGAACATGAAGCAATCCATTCGATATCAAAAGGCACGCAGTTTAACGTACAGAATGCAGATTGGGGAATCGTAGGATTAGAACCACCTGGAAGCCAGAGTCGCACTGAACAAAAAATGAGAGCTGAGCGGCTTAAAATG